TCAGACTCGGTCCCGCGCTTCGCTCCAACGGCCTGCTGTGCTTTAGCTGCTACGCTACTCAGAGTTCGGGCTAGCGGCCTCGAGACAGCGGAGCTCCTCAGAGCTTCGCTCGCTGACGGGAGGGGTTAGGTATCTGAGTCAACACAGAGGGCCTACCCCCTGCAGCGCATTCCCTGATAGGTTAGCAGCAGGCGGAAGGCTGCGGTACGATAATATGTGGGAGTCAAAGTTATATATCGAAGAGTGGGACTCTCCTTTCTACCTAATCTGGACCCTTGGAGGCTACGCCGTAACCAGCTCTACATTACCTGATCCGACCCTGCCCTTACCTTGCCAGCTTCGCCCCCCATCCTCCGCAGTCGCGAAGCGCGGCGGGGGAGGGGCTGTATCTGTATGAGTGCAAGGGTTGAAGCAATCATTCCTCTCATTGAAGTAAGGAGAAGGCCAGTAAGGCAACTAGCTACTGTCCTGAGGCTAAAATTATAAATCAGCAACACTAGAGAGGGTTAATATTAGCAGAGACGGAGCGCCTGAAACTGGAACATATAAAATTTTTAAATAAGCGCACAAGCGAGAGGGTTGCAACTAATATATAAGACCTATTCTATCTTCCGGTATAATAAATTAAAAAAGACTTGTTATCATCTTATTAAGCGCGGCGCATGCAATTAGTACACTTCTACTTTAGCATTCCCGTTTATTCAAGTACGCTTATTTTCGAAAACGCCGAGCAGAACTTAGTTCTCTAATTTATTTTTATACGGAGCCTACGTAAGGTCAATAATAATAAACCGCCAAATATGGATTATAAGTTATCTTAACAAACCCGCGCAGCTTTAGCAACCTGCAGTGCTAAAGCAGAACCACCTCACGCGCTCCCGCGCTTCGCTTCCTCCCTTGCCCTTAAGGGTGGGCGGGCGCGAAGCATCCCTCGCTCCGCATGCGCCCTGCGGAGCGTGCGTAGGGGAGGGGTGGCAGGGCGGCGAGCGCTAAACCACCGAGCCTTATGGTCAGCATGCGCGTAATACCTGCTGCTCCACCAGCCCCGCTGCTCCGAATGGGGTGCGCGCCGCGCGCTTCGCGGCGCAGCACTGCGGCCCGCAGCACTGCGCCCTGCGGAGGACTGCTGCCCCTGCGGAGCGCTGCGCGGGTGGGGAGGGCATAATTTTAAGTAAAAAAAGTCGATGCTAATAATTTCTTTTTTTGTAGCAGTAGCTACGCACCCTTCGGGCGTGCTCCCCTATTATATTGCACTTTCCATTAGTAGAGAGGGAGCACAATAAGAGAAAGTGTAGGGAGGTATACTAATTGAGAACAGTCGAGTTCATAATTTTTTTATTGCAATCTAAATAAAAAATAAATTTTTTGCAAACTAAATAAAAAAAATTTATTTTTTCAACCTATTATTCCACTAGATAGCTTGCTCTGTCTTTTTTCTGCTTGCTAACCATGGCTTGGAGGCTAACCCTCCCCCCCTTTTGAGGTTTAAGCTAGCAGGGCTGGTTTTACGCTCCGGAGCTTTTGTTTAGGAGAAGACCTCTTCGCGCCCTGCAGGGCGCCCTGCTCCTTCGGTTACCCCTTGCCCGCCCGCGCTACTCTCCTGCGCCCAGCAAGGGTCGCGAAACACCTGCGGAGCGGTGCTTCGCCTGCAGGGGGGTTGCCCTTATTTCTCCGCACTCGGAATGCTCCAGCTGGACTACAGCTTAAGTAGCACAAAGGGCTTCGCAGCACAGCAGGCACGCAGCATGCGCGCATGCGCGTAAGCCGCAAGCGCGTAGGCCGCAACCACGAACCCTGCGTAGGGCTTGCGGAGTAGGCAGCATTTGTCTATTAAAAGTTTAGCTTTTTCAGAAGTGAGTGGCTTGTTATTGTACACTACCAATTAATAAATATCTCTAGTGAAAGATTACCCTCTACCTAACCCAGGTTTTCGCCCCGCAGGGCGGACAATCGGGTAGCCCGGGCGCTACTGCCCTAAAGCAGAGGCAGACAGCGGACCGAGGACTGTATGGTAGTATTCACCCTTCCCTTAATCTCCAGCCTACACAACCCTCCCCACGCCTGCCGAGTAACCTTCATAATCCTTAAGGTGGAGTGTAAAATTATTCTAGTTCGGGGTACACACGCTCCGCAACCCGGTACCGTAATATGCGGTACCGGGCTACGCGGAAGCGCTCTACTAGTGCCTCACCGTTTTACAAGGTTAAAAATAAAAATTTTTTTATTAATCTCCCGCAAAGTAAAGGGTTTTGGCTAAATACTAATGACCAAAGCAGTCGAGGGTCGCAAGCGCGAAGCTCCAGCATGCGCGCCCATCCTCCGCAGTCGCGAAGCGCGGCGGGAGCGAAGCGCTAGGGGACTACGAACCCTGCCAACAAGCAGGAGGCGAACCACCGCAGCAGAAGATTTAAGAACAAAAAATTAGACTACTAAAACTATCGAATATTACTAAATTAACTATGCGTAAAGGCCCGTAAATATCTCTGCAACGCTCCACTGTCGCCCTGCTACCGCTGCTGCGCGACCCGCCCCTCCTCACCTTAACTTTGCAGAGATTCGCAGTAGCAAAGCGCGAGGGGTGCTAAAGTTAGGCTGGGAGAGAGTTAGCAGTCCAGGTTGCACTTGAATGAGTATTGCTCTCCCTGCTTACCCTCTGGTCACACCTCATCGGCTCAGCCGAGTTCAAGTTGAGCGTAGCCTCGATTAGCTTCGTAGGCTAAGGTTCAGTAGAAAAAGAAGGTTATTTTATTTGTTAAAGATACTCACTAAAGAGCATGAGGCGGTAACCTATAAAGAATTTTTATAAGTTCTTTTTATTTTCAATATAGTAGGTTTTCTCATTAACTTTTACAAGTTAAGGCTGTCAATGGTAAAAAAAAATTTTTTTTTTTCTTCTTAAGAAATATACAGTAGCACACACCCTTCCACGGCTTCAGTAGTTGAGTAATCCCACGTCCTAACTAGGCTCCCGCTACGTAGCGCCGCACAGCGCCGCCCCTCCAGAGCTGAGGGGTAAGCTACGCCCTTCGGAGCGTTCCTGGTCTTCTTTAGAACCGAAGGATGGGGCTCCTTCGGAGTAACCCTTCATGCTCTAACGCACCCCGCGTAGCTCACGCACCTCCGCAGTCGCGGAACGCGCTAAAGCTGGATAAAGGAAAGTTGCGGAGGTAAAAGAGCCAAGGTGGAGGGGAGGGAAGGGCGTATCCTAGGGTACACTCCTGAAGCCGTACCCTTTCACACCCGGTAATGCAACGCTTCGCGACTGCAATACACACCCTAAGATGGCTAGAAGAGTAAAGAGCAGTATAACCTATCCCTCCTTCTCCTTTAGCGGGGGGTGCGTAGCACCGCTGGAGGGGTCTCAGTTACCAAGTTCGAGTCCGCAGACTGCTTCTGCTTTACCTCTGAAGCGTGCGTAGCGCCCGATTATGAAGGTGAATTACTAATTAAAATTTCAAGGAAAGTATTACTGGTTATTAGTCTGCTCCTAATTCGCAGGCTGCCTTAGCCTCCTTCGGAGGATTGCTTTAGCATCCAGATGAGCCAGGAGCGCCTCCTCAACCAGGAGTGCTAGTGTGAAGCAATAGTAGCCTCAATCACAGCTTCCAAAGGTGGTGCTGATAAAGCATGTGCCCTGCGGAGCTCCTGCTGCTCCACCTTCCCTGCAGCTCCGAAGAGGGAACGCGCCGCGCGCTTCGCGGCGCAGCACTGCGGCCCGCAGCACTGCGCCCTGCGGAGGACTGCTGCCCCCTATGGAGCGGTGCGCGGGAGGGGTGAAAATGCAGTAGGAGGGAGGCTAACTAGGCTAACGAAAATAAATAATACTCTTCGTAGCCCCCGCTCCCTTGCTAAAATTATAAGTAAGCAACTCTGATGTTCGAAAGTAGAAAATTTAATGCTAAAAATTTTTTTTATTTAGCTCTGCAATCCAGCTACTGCTTTAGCATCCGAAAGCTGGAAGGGCTCAATTATTCGCTGAAGGGGCTTCGCTGCACAGCAGTACCGGCTCCGCATTGCTTTTATCTCCCCATACGCTACGCCCGGTACGCCCTTGCGGACTTAGCGTATGCTCCTCACTCGCTTCCCTACACTCCAGCTAAAGCAATCGGCCTGCGGAGCGCGTGTAGCGGAGCGAGGAAGGGAGTCGCGCCTCCATACGCCCGCGGAGGCGTGCGGGATCGCTGCGCGGGAGTCGTGCCTCCATCCGCTCCGCGCCTGCGGACCGCAGTGCGCTGCAGGGGAGGCGCGCGGGAGCGCAGCTACTTATTTAGCCTAATACGGGTCTTCTCTACTGCAGCATTAAATTAAGAAGCCGCTGTTCAGCTAGCTGAGCCTGAGCTTATTTTTACAGCTAATAGTAGTAATTCTATAGCTACAATTAGTAAAATTATATTATTTCTGTTTAAAATAAAACCTGCGATTCCACACAGAAATAAAAAAATCATTATTATTTTCATTTTGTAATATAATGTTAGTACCATTTATGATCTTAAATATAACGTTTTTTTAGGGAGACTAATCTTAAACTTTTAAACAAATGTCCACTCCTGGATAGATATAGCTTACAGTGATGCTGATTTAATTTTACGAAACCTTAAAATGTCCAGACGAAGGAGTAGCGTTGCGCGCCGCAGGGCGGACAGGACGACCTTTAGTTAGCAGTAGAGAGTAAGGCAAGCTAAAGCGCTAAACAACTAAAAGGCTAAAAGGTTAAAACACTAAAGCAGAAGAAGGGTGCTTTTATTTTTTTTTTCAAGATTACCCTTGCCGCGCTACTCCGAATGTAAGCAACCCTCTTCGCTCGGCGGCAGCGCACAGCGCTCGGCCAGCGGAGCGCGCGGAGCGCTCCGGGCTAGCGGTGCGCTTGTTTATTTGCTAGTTAAATTAGGCTTAGAAATTATAATAGTAGCAAACATTGCTAATAATAATATTATACTTAAAGATATTAGTAAAATAGCCCCGTATGCGTATAAGTCATTTCCTAGTGATTCTATTTGAGTTCAATTATTAATAGAGTTCATAGCTGAACTTAAATTATTAACTAAATTAGAATAAATTACCGCTGCTTCGTCCCCGTTGCTAAGATTAACTTCGCTTGAAAAATAAAGATCATATAAAACATTGCTATTCAGATGGAATGAACCTGCGGATAAATAATCTAAAGCAATAAAGTTTTGTAAATTAAATGAGTAATTAGTTAATGAATTAATTATATATGCAAAAAAAATTACAATAATAAAACTATAAATGCTATTATTTAAAGAAACAGAAGTAGGCTCAACTAAATCTTTATCCTTTAAATTAAGCATCATAATTACAAATAAAAAAAGTACTGCTATGGCTCCAACATATAATATAATATAAGAAATACCTATAAAACTGATACTACTAATAATAAATAAATAGCAGATAATACAAAAGTAGCTATTAAAACACAACCGCAAGTACTGGACTATTACCTAAAGAAATAATACTAAAACTAGTAAATAAGATACCGAAAGCTAATAAAAATTGAGTATTGTTTTCATTTAAATTAAAAATAAAAAATATTTTTTGCTTTTAAATTAAATTTAGGCTTAATCTATTTAATTCTAATAAAAATTTCACACGGTAAGGTTCAGGTATCATGAAGAGTCCCGATTACTTCCTGACTACACTCTCTGAGCCTGCTTAGTTGCTCTGCCAACCAGCTACCCTCCCCCCGCCGCGCTTCGC